AAGACTGTCCATTCACTTGGTGGGTGGAAGCATCAAAGAAAGCCTTCTGTTTTTAAGAGTTGCAAATCGGTCAATCACTCTGTTGTGACTGATATGCTCAAGTGTGTTCTTTTCAATGGACATGACTGCAAGACTGTGAAGTCTTTTCTGACCCATTGTTTGACGCAGCCATGAGTGAAGCCGACGCAGTGCACTAAAGGACCTTTCACATGAGCAGCTACTTACAGGAACTGTTACAGTGCAGTTTCTGCTGCTACTGGAGATATTTTAGCGGACTATAGTGACTAGTTTTACCAGCATGGATGAATTGAATACTTAATTTACCTTTCTAAAAAACTATCGAATATCCATCCTGTCGACTCAACCTGACTTTCGGCAATGAACTGTCAGTTGTTGCGTGAGCATTTGATGTGGCGATGGTGACAGTCAACATCGCCATCAAATGCTAACTGTCACCATCGCCACATCAAATGCTAACGCAACACCTGTTGCGTTAAGGAAACCTGGGAGATTTAATATTATAATAATGGCACGTTATCGAAATATAATTGAAAATGGCCACATTACATTGAATTCGATGCAATATATTAGCAAAAGTAAAGGAAAAATAAATAATACTTTTTTTTAAATATTGCTGTTGCGTTAAGGAAACCTGGGAGATTTAATATTATAATAATGGCACGTTATCGAAATATAATTGAAAATGGCCACATTACATTGAATTCGATGCAATATATTAGCAAAAGTAAAGGAAAAATAAATAATACTTTTTTTAAAATATTGCAATGAAATTATTTAGGGGGGCTAAAGATATTTTTAGGGAGGCTGAAGCCTCCCTAAAATAGGCCTAATGACGCGATGCCTGTTAGCAAAAAAAATGAGCAAGTCAAGTCATCATTATCAAATGTGATCATGAGCACTGGTGATACAAACTTGTGAATCTAAGGTCTGGTGTATGAATGGTCAGATACTTTCAACAAGAAGAGAGTTGAGTAATTGAAGAACTGCACTGAAAAATGTCATTGAATCAGAGATGTCAGATGCCAGTCACAACACAGCTATATAAATTTGCTAATTGTGGGGCTGATGAAAGTTTTGTTATCTTTCTCACTAGCACTACAAACACAAACTAAGCAAAGTTAAAATTTCCAAGAGTCATTGAAGACCTTCTTGAAATAAGGAAGAGCACATTCTGTGACTTTCAACGAAGAAAAGGTGTTTGAAAAAAGGCATCAAGAGTCTTCATCATAACAGATGATTGACATGCTCAGAATTTGCTCTGTTTAATGTGGGGAATTGGCTTTGTGCTTCACATTTGGCACCTATCACCCCACAACAACTATGTATTTATTTTTTTCAGGACCAATAAGTGGTATACAGAATTGACATTCACGAAGCTAAAATCACATCATCATCATCATCATCATCATCATCATTCTCTTCCGCTTATCCAAGGGGTTGAAAGAGGTCCACAGGTGCGGGGCTTAAGCAGGCATTCGGGCAATGAAAGTTTACGAAAGCATGGCAACGAGTGTTCTGTAATCAGAGAATAAAAATAACTAGGTATTTATTTAATGTAAGGGGCAGTCCGGTGTTCTACTGGTTAGCACGTCGGCCTCACAGTGCAGAGGTGCAGGGCTCGACTCCGGCTGCGGCATTCCTGTGTGGAGTTTGCATGTTCTCCACGTGCCTGCGTGGGTTTTCTCTGGGTACTCCAGTTTCCGCTCATGTTCCAAAGACATGCATAACAGGTCTGTAGGTGTGACTTTGAGAGGGAATGGTTGTTCATCTATGTGTGACCAGTTCAGCATGTCCCCTACCCACTGCCCACTACCCAATGACGGCTGGGCTATCCTCGTTAGGATAAGCAGATTAGAAAATGGATGGTTGAATGGGTGGATGTTTGTACATTTTATGAATTACATTTAATATTAAATCAAATATTATATATACAAGTGCTTCATTTCATAATAAACCCATTTAAAAACATATATACACAATACTGTATTCTCTATACAGTATTGTGTATATATGTTTTTAAATGGTATTTCATACAGAGTCTATATGAAACTTTCAGAACACTTTTTAAAATTAAACACCAGATCTTAATAAAACTTTAATATCACTTTGAAAACATGATTATCATGATTATTATTATTATTATTATTATTCATAATAATTAATACAGATTTAAAATGACTTTTATTTTGAAATACAACATCAGATCTTTGATGAAACCTCCTGGGCGGCATCCAGAGATAATCAATTTTTTTTCCAGCAGCGGAATGGCTGCATAGGAAATATTCAATCTAGTGATTTGTAAATCATGAGCATCGGTGGTTTCGTTTGTACTTCTATTTTGAAAGAGGCTTCAGGAGATCATTGACATCGTGTTACCGTAATGCACAGTGTAAACACATATTGACAATCGAAGTGGATGATGGCATGACCTCGTCTTTTGAAGTGTTGGCGTTCCTGACCGCTTTTGGGAGTTTACTTGTGTTCCAGTCGTATTTTTCAGCACATGGTAAGCAGAGGAAAATACGGATTCAATGTATTTTCCACGAACTTATTTAATAGCTCTGTAATTGCAGAGGAAGTTGATGTTTACGAAATGAAGTCCCTATTTGGTAAACATGGGGACGTGTTTTACTGTAACTGACTCGGTTCAGATCTAGATTCAGACAGTACAGTGTACCCAATATCTGCAGGAAACGTAGCTGCCTCTTTTGTCATATATTTTGACATAAAGGACAATCGGTCGTGCAACAACTGTGCGCGAGATCAACACGCATTTTTGTGTTGCTACACAGTCTTCTGGATCACGTTAAATCCATCCTTCCTGTGTTAAGGAAATGTAAAACTGCATTTTTTTTCGGATTTGTATTTGTATGTTCCTGTTGGCGAGCGCTTGGCGTAGAAGTGAGGAAATCGCTGTTGCTGAACCGTGCTCACCCAAATCTGACAGTAAAGTTTACACGATAAATCACGAAAACACTATTGTAACTTAACGCACCGTGAAAACACGCACCAAGTTACACTATGGGTAACTAACTTAGTTTCCGCTTTCCAGTCCCTCAGGAAATTACTTCCATTGTGCGCCACAAGCCATTAATGGAATCGCACAACGACTTGTGTTCACAAGCTGTCTTTCTGCACAATGCACAATCATGGAATGGAATCCTGCCGCCTTCTTACTTTGCAAGAATGTAGTTTGTTGAAAAATAAATATACTTTCCTGTTGAATAATTTGACAGCGAGCGTTATAAGCCTCTTCAATGACCACTCTTCAGACAATGTTCTTGTTTTTTTTTATTTTAGTCCTTAACCAGACAGCTATAGTGACTTGGTGCGCTTTCCATTTCATTTACATGCAAGTCGTCTATTTTTAATCAGGTGGATTTCTTTTATGAAACGTCATCGCTATAAATTATAACGCATGGTAAAATCTTTACTGCGCAAGCTTTCATAGTTCAAACTTTTAAAAAAAAGGATCTGAAAAACCGGATATGCTTGAAAAAAGAACTGAAGATGTTTTTGAAATGGGCATCAAAAGTACACTTAGGGACATACAAAGCTGTCTCTGATTAAAATTTGCTGTTGACCAGTGTTATTCGTCTTCTTATCAGCTTAGTGGGGCTGTAAATAATGCACACAGTTAAGATTTGCTGTGTATATTGATTTCTCACTTGTCCTTAGATGTGATTGTGAGCGCGAATGGTTGTTTGTCTATGTATGCCCTGCAACCAGTTCAGGGTGTCTCCCTGGGTATCTAAAGATATATTACAGATGATTGTCACACTGTGGTGAGGGTTGTTTATTTGTCTGGTCACTTCCTGTTTTATTATGAAAGAATGATCCTCCTATCCTTTCAGGTCACTTGCTCATCCCCCTGTGCCAGTCTGTTTGTCAGCCCTGCCCTGCTTGTTTCCACCTGTTGCCCTTTACCTTGTGTTTAAATGGTCCTTGTCTCTCTTTGTCCTGTGCCAGTGTGTTTGGTCCTTATGTGTGCACTCCAGCCTCTCGCCACAGATCTGACCAGTCCTTGCCTTGTTTTGACAGCCTTGCCTGTTTTGAGTTTTCAGCCGCTGATCCTCAAATAATTTTACTCTGAATCCTGCAAGAGTGTCCTGTGTCGAAGCCCCATACTGACAATTATGAGTGCATAATAAATATGCTGTATTGTTTTGTCCAAAGTTGAAGACATTAAAGAGTTAAAACAAGCAAACACATATGTGTTATTTCCTTTCCTCACCCAGTGAAGACTGATAATGAATCGGATTGATAAGCAGTATCAAGTATGGCATCAAAATCGCTAAAATCCTATCAATCGCCATCGCCATATAATTGCTTGGACTGTACAGTTGTGTATGTCCCTTTTTAACAAAATGACAAAACAATGTGAGACTGCTGTAGATTTCCTGGTATGTAATCCCAGCACGTGGTCGTTTCTCTAAAAAAGTGCAATGAATCTGTAATCACAAAACCTTTTGAGAGTGTATCTTATATGACTGAATCTAGGACATGAGTACACAAACTTAACTTCCTTGTGCTCTATCAAGCCATTATAAGCCATAGTCAAGTCAAGTCAACTTTATTGTTAAATGTGCTACATGTGCAACATTGAGCACAGATGACTTTCCTCTCAACATCAGGAGAGAGAGGAGCCGCTGCGGGTGCACGCGCCGCCATCGTACATAGCACTACACATGTCACCTGGAATGCAACGTATTGTACAGTTGTATTTTCTGTGTCTCCTCCTAGATAGAAGATGAATGAGGACGCCTTTGAGGTACCGGAAAGGAACGAGTACCGCTACCTGGTGCAGGAGGAGGATGAAGAGGAGGTGCAATATGTTCGACACAGACACTACATCAGCCCCTTCCTGGTGCTTTCCAGACGCTGCATTTTGCTCATCTGCCTCGGGGTGCTGGCTCTCCTTGTTCTGGCCACTTACCTGGGCTATGTAGCCCAGACACTCCCATCTGGATTTGTCCAAGTGACCACTGACTGTGGCAAATTCAGAGGAAGACAAGTGAGTTTCTAATTTTTGATGATTACTTTGTTCATCGAGTTATAAATATAAATGAAGAAAAAAAGATTTGATCTGTCCAAATATTCAATCCTTCAATGGCTAAGGCAGGGGTGGCCAACCAGTCAGAGACTAAGAGCCAATTTTTGTACTGTGTTACTGCAAAGAGCCACACACACACACACACACACACACACACACACACACACACACAACCATGCACTCGCGCACATATGCATGCACGCCACGACGAGCAACAGCCTGAGCACCCGAACATAAATGAAACCTAAAAACACAAACACACAAATTTTTTCCCCCATTTCCTCCTCTCACCGCTCGCAGTCGACTTGGGACCAGTCTGCTGGCTCTTGGTCAATTGCGATCGACATATTGGGCACCCCTGCCTTAAAAACAGAGGTAATTCGCTGACTAGCTTAGCACTTAGCGCCGTTGTCTGTGCATGAGCGGTGATTCAGTCATCTGATTGGTTGCCCTCTATGTCACTCAAGTAACGGTATTGGTGATAGGCTGACAGAGTACATTCTATGTATTAAGCGCCGTTGTTTTAATGGCAGCGCCATCGCCGAGGCGTTTTGGACAATTGTCGTGTGAAAGCCCCGGAGCCGCATTTAACCAGCCAAAGAGCCGCATGCGGCTCGCGAGCCGAGGGTTGGCCACCCCTGGGCTAGGGTGTTGTGTCTCACACATAAAAATCAAAACCGAGTAGCCATTTGTAAAGGTAGATATTGGGAAAGGCATTTTCTCAATGTTTATTTGGGTTGTCATTGAATTATTTAGCAAAAGATAATCGCTACCTTGTTAGCAAACGTCAGTTCTGCAGTGCCCGTTTATTTCACCTCTACCATTAATTTGAACATAAAAGTTAAATAATTAGCAAGTCCCTCAGTGATCGTGTTACCTTTGTCTAAAATTCCACCACATCTGTCTTTACAATACATCTTTATTTGTATAGCACTTTCACAACAGCTGCAGCTGTAATGAAGCTCTTTACAGAACAGTGAACATAAAATAACAACAATAATATTACAAAACAACACATAAGACATGGACAGTCATGCAATCATAACCTAAACGCAATTCCCGTATACGCTTTGCTGTTTGAAGCAATTCTAGATGAAAAAGGAAAGAATCAAAGTGTCCTTTTTGCCAGTGGATCAGAGATGTCATGCTCAAAATGTGCACACGTCTGCTGTTGAAATGTAAATTGTGGCTGCCGTTCTGTATCGAAGCAATTTCCCTCACGTATCTTCTTTTGGACCGACACTTCACACATTTAGACAGAAAAAAGGATACATAATCTGTTTTCTCAAGGACTCTATATTCCTCAAATGATATGTAGGGGTTTGGTTTACGAGTGTTGCTTTTGGAGAAACGCTCAATCTTTTGCTACTACTGTAGTATGTGTGACATCATGGTGAAACAATCTGTAGAATCATTGTTAAAATCAGGTACCCAGAGGTAGAACTGTACTTGTGTACAATATAGGTGACAGGGCAATGATGGTTGCACATTGGTCAGTTCAATTTTATTTCACTGCATTTTTGAAACAATTCACATACAGCAATAAGATGCCAGAATACACATCTCAAAATGTCAAAAATAAACACACATCCTAATGATGGCTTACCATGTCCAGGTTAGTTCTACATTCGACTTTATTGTAATTGAATATGGCTAAGCCAGAGCAATTGCACGCTTGATGCATCATACATTGTGTTGGTATTGCATTAAATGTTTCAAAAAAATATTCTAAAGTGATTTTAAGACGACATTAGCAATTCTGATAACATGTTCTCTCAAGCAAGGCAAATTTGTCTTCGCAAGACTTCCCTTTGAGTGTGATGCTGCAGAGTTTCACCTCGTGAATTATATTTCAGTTCACCTTACTGGCCGAAGTCTCCAGTGTTAGAGATCACTTCTGTCATAATATCCGCAAGCGGATAGATGTGATAGAAAAAAAAACATTCGACGATGTCTTGGGGCAGCTCAGTGTGAGCATTCAGAAATAATTTGATAAAGGAATATCCTCCAGGGTAAGAGACGATTTTCCTTGTTAAACTTGAAACTCACTGTGTTGGTGAAGAATACTGTGGCTGCACAAAGGAGCGACATGCTCCTCACTGTCTTCCCACTGCTTGCAGCTCACCATCTGTGGTTGCCTATGAAATGAGCTAAAACCAGTTTGGACTCTTCCGAATTGCATTCCTGTACAGGCTGGGAATGTGACACTAATTGGATGCCGTGCTGAAAGCAAAACAAGGAAGAGTCAGAAGCCTCACACAGACAATGTGTAAATTAAACTGTAACGAAAGCAAATATTTTCAAAATTATTTTCAAATTAATTTCATACCACTCTCAATTCTTTCTCCCTTTGATGACAAAAACAACTTTCAGATGTATTATAGGTACATATGAATCATATTAATAATCAGAGGTGGGCATTTTACAATTTACCCTTCCGTCATTGTCAGTTTGTTATTTCTTTATAACTCAACCAAACTGTAATCGTCAGTCCGTCATGCTTTCTTCGGTAAACTTCACCGCTCCGCCAGTCAGTTATTTTACTATCTTTGTGATCTGCATATAAACCTTTGTGGTTGTGGGTTTATGTAAAATGTTGGTGAAATTATTTATATTCAAGACTTTACCTTGTTTGCGGGGTTCAATTGAGTGCCAGCAAAATAAGTGTGATTAAAATGGTAAATGGAGTGCACTATCAGTGTATCTACATCATACGGTGTATGCCCAAAGAGCTGCACACACAAACACACCCTCTTTGTCGTCTCCTTCTCCTCCTCCTTTTCCTCCTCCTCCTTCTTCTTCTCGGTTCTTTTTTCGGATTACAGTGCTTTACTAAATACCGCCACCTAGTGTACAAGTAGTGCAGAGCGTTTCCATATACAGTCATACCTCAGTTTTCGACCATAATCCGTTCCAGAAGGCTGTTTGAAAACCGAGTTGTTCGAAAACCGAAACCACACTCTTTAAAAAAAAAAAAAAGGTTCCTGAACACGTCTGTTCACCATGAAATGCTAAATGAGGAAGCGTCACTTACTCGTCTACCCGAGGAAGCGTCACTTCCTCGCGTAAGGAAGGCGAGAGGAGTCAAGTGATGCATTCAAGTGCACTCACTTTGTTCGAGAACCGAAATTCGGTCGTCATCCGAGGCATAAAAAACTCTAAATTTTTGGTCGAAAACCGATTTGGTCGAGAACAGAGACGTTCGAAAACCGAGGTTTGACTGTACAGCAAGGGTCTCAAACTCCGGTCTTGGAGGGCCGCTGTCCTGCATGTTTTCCAAGTCTCCCTGTTGCAACACACCTGATTCAAATGATCAGATCATCAGCAAGCTCTGCGGAAGCCTGACATTGAACATGTTCATTTGAATCAGGTGTGTTGCAACACGGAGACTTGGAAAACATGCAGGACAGCGGCCCTCCAGGACCTGAGTTTGAGACCCCTGCTGTACAGTATAAATAGTTAATGGAAGCAAACCTGCTCGCGGACAAACACACAAGACAGTCTTGAATATGAATAATTTCACCAACATCTAACACAGAACTGCAACCCTACAAGTTTATATTCAAATAAATACACAAAAATATTAGATTCAAACAAAGATTGTAGGCCAACACAGTCCCTGCAGTGATCCGATTAAAAAGAGGAACACTCACTATCACACACCTATTCAGTTCACTCGCTCAACACCCCCCCCCCCCCAACAAACACACCGGACCCTCAGTGCATGTTTCTGTGAGTCGTCAGCAAAATGGGCGTCCATCAGTGGGAGAGGCGTGTCAGTACTTGACTCGGTTAGCAACGATTACACTGACAAAAATCAGTATGCATCATTTGTCCATATATACACCTTTATTTAAAAGAAGTTATGTTGGGTCATTATTTTGTGGTTTTGAAGTAGACTTACTGCATTACACTACAGGATCTGAACCAACCGATTGGGATATTAGTTTCCCTCATCTCTATTGAAACAGTAAACAGGAAGATATTAACTTAAAACTGGCCGAACATTTCCCAGTCAATTTTTACAAAAAATATCAAACATCTGCATCCTCAGAACTTGACTTTGGGAGAGAGTTTTCACACACTGACATGAACGATCGGGGTAGAAGGCGGTCACCAAGTGCCCACTTCAGAGTGGTGATCCATTCTCGTCCTGACAAAGTTTACGTCTGTTGGAATTCCTTATAAACGTACTTTCTGTGCGTCACTCTCTTGTATGGACTCCAGCGAGTCAGTTTTTGCTTTTGCCATGTAGAACATGCGCTTCTCCTGTGCTGAATTTTCAAGGGAATGAGAGGATCCGCTTTCTTTGGCCAGGAAGCAGGTTGGCTGTGTTCATGCCCACAATGGCGCAAATACCCTTTTCTGAATAAAATTCCACCCATGTGTAGAATTAGACCGTGCTTTGCACTAGACTTGCCCTGGTCAAGAGAATAAGGCCCTTAGTATTCAATTTACATTTCTGTTTATGCTAGCACTCCTGCTAAAGTGTTCGGATTTTCCGTCCTTAAAATGTAATAATAATAGTAATGCAACCGTGGCATTTTCTCTCAGCCAGAATATGCTCATATGACTGTTTTGTCTCCATTAATCCACATTGAATGAACTGTAATCCACCACATTTTGCAGAAAAACGGTGCCTACTCCTTTAAAGGCATGTCATATGCAGCTCCGCCAGTTGGTAAACTGCGTTGGGCACCTCCTGCCGACCCAGTGTGTCGGGATGGTGTCACGGATGCCACCCGCTTCCGCGGCGTGTGTCCTCAAGTGCAACCGCTGTCAAGCACAGGCAAGGTGATAGGCCAAGAGGGCTGTCTCTTCATCAATGTGTGGACACCAACGCTCAAGGCCGACGCAAAGCTGCCCGTCATGGTCTGGATCCATGGAGGTTATCTACACATGTTCAGTGGTAGCGAGCAAGGCTACTCACCCACGGAGAAGCTTGCAGCAGAAACTGGGATGGTGTACGTCAGCTTCAATTACAGACTCAATGCATTTGGCTTCCTGGCACTGGAGATACTAAGGGAAGGCTCTCCGAAAAACACTTCAGGTCAGTTGTATTTGGTTTATTTCAAGCATGGGTTTGGCAGATATGTCTTGTCAAAAAGCTTTCACTCTCAAATAATGGATCGCTATTTACATTGTGTTGGATTACAGAAGCAATGCAATTTTCAACAAAAGGGTGAATTTATAAATATACACTAATTCTTAGTGTTGACAGTTACTTCTTGTCTAATCCACTCTTGGAAGGAATATAGTGGATTTTTTTTTTTTTTTTAACTTGAAAAATGGGACATTGAAAAGAAAGCCCTCTCTTCCTCCATAGGGAATTATGGCTTCATGGACCAGATTTTTGCATTAAAATGGGTACAAAGAAACATCCACGTTTTTGGAGGCGATCCTGGGAAAGTTACCATCTTTGGCCAGAGTTCAGGTAAGAAAACAATATTTTATTTATTGTCAATATAAGATTCACATTGCCCTGAACAATTAATTGCACACTTTTTCACATTCATCACGCTTAAATATTTCAAATCATCTTGCCAATTTTAATCCCCCAAAGACTGCCCAAGTAAATACAAAATACATTTTCTAAATGATTATTTTATTCATTTGGGGCAAAATAATCCAAACCGGTCAAGCCCTACGTGAAATGGTAATTGCCCCCACTTGGTAAAGCATGCATTTAACAATGATTAACCACAGTTTTTGGAAAGTTAGTTCAATTACACTGGCCACGCCTTGACCTGATTACCGAAAAATGTGTTTAATTAAGAAGTCACAAAATAGTTCCCGTCAGACAGTCGACAACAAGTCAAGATCTCCAACAGAAACATGTCATACCACATTCCAAACCAGTTAAAGAACAAATAAGAAAATTGGGAACAGTGGTAAAGCTTCCCCGAGTGCTGCACTTACTGAGATCAGAAGTCGGGGATGTCTCTCATCATCAATCAAATTTGCCATTAATTTAATCTACTGTACAGTAGGAAGATGAACACAACACATTGCAAACCTCACCGAATTGTTTGAATAAAATTGCATTAAGATGACAGGATAGTAACCATTATAAATGCTTAATTAAATATTCAGTTTCCTAATTTGAAAAGTAATCTAAAGAGCACAGCGATAAGCCAAGGCTGAAAAAAATTCAACGCATCGCTGGCCCAATGTCAGCATTATGCATGTTCATGATTATAATATTCCATTTAAGTTTTATCTGGTCTACCGTAACGTCTGGCAGTGCCACGAAACATCACTTGGCTCCAATGCAAGCACGCTGCAATGTCAGTTTAAAACTTTGATTGACACCTTTATCCATCCATCCATCCATTATCTGATGCGCGTTATCCTCACAAGGGTCGCGGGGCATGCTGTAGCCTAGGGGTGGCCAACCAGTCAGAGACGAAGAACCAATTTTTTTACTGTGTTACTGCAAACAGCCACACACACGCACGCACGCACGCACGCACGCACACACACACACACACACTTTTTTGCCCAAAGATCGACTTTTGGAGCACCAACCTCTCACGATCGACCCGATCGCGCATGTGCAAGCATATGAACACACACAAACACACACACACACACACACACACACACACACGCGCGCGCGCGCAACTATGCACTCGCGCACAAATGCATGCACGCCACGACGAGCAACAGCCTGAGCGCCCGAACATAAATGAAACCTAAAACCACAAACACACAAATTTTTTTCCCCCATTTCCTCCTCCCACTGCTCGCGGTCGACTTGGGACCAGTCTGCTGGCTCTTGGTCGATTGCGATCGACGTATTGAACACCCCTGCCTTAAACACAAAGGGAATGACTCGCTTAGCACTGATCACTTAGCGCCGTTGTCTGCGCATGAGCGGTGATTCAGTCATCTGATTGGTTGCCCTCTGTGTCAATCAAATAACGGGATTGGTGATAGGCTGACATAGTACGTTCTATGTTTTAATGGCAGCGCCATCACCGAGGCGTTTTCGACAATTGTCGTGTGAAAGCCCGGGAGCCGCATTGAACCGGCTAAAGAGCCACATGCGGCTCGCGAGCCGCGGGTTGGCCACCGCTGCTGTAGTCGATTGGAGCTGTCTTGGGCAGTAGGCGGGGGACACCTTGAACCGCTTGCCAGCCAATTGCAGGACACACGGAGGCAAACAACCATCCCTGCTCACACTCACAGCTAGGGACAATTCAGAGTGTTCAATCAGCCTGCCATGCATGTTTTTGAAATGTGGGAGGAAACAGGAGTACCCGGAGAAAACCTGCGCATGCCCGGGGAGAACATGCAAACTACACACAGGAAGGCCGGAGCCAGGATTAAACCAACAACCTGTGCACTGTGAGGTCTACGCGCTAACCACTGGACCACTGGGCCGCCCCACCTTTATCCAAGTCTACAAATTCAATGAATTGTTATTTGGCCCATGCAACATCCTTGCTAAGAGATGTTGTAGAAATTAGTTATTATTTCATTTTGAAAATAATTAAATAAATCGGGCCCGGAGATCGACAGGTTAGCGTGTTGGCCTCACAGTGCAGGAGTGCAGGGTTCGATTCCGACTCCGGCCTTCCTGCGTGGAGTTTGCATGTTCTCCCAGTGCCTGCGTGGGTTTTCTCTGGGTACTCCGGTTTCCTCCCACATTCCAAAGACATGCATGTGCATGCCAGGTTAATGGAACATTCTAAATTGTCCCTCGTGTGAGTTTGAGCGCGGATGGTTGTTCGTCTTTGTTTGCCCTGCGATTGGCTGGCAAACAATTCAGGTTGTCCCCTGCCTACTGCCCGAAGACAACTGGGGTAGGTTCCGGCATGCCCCGCGACCCTTGTGAGAAGAAGCAGATCAGGAAATTGATGGATGGATGGATGGATGGATGGTGGATGGATGGATGAAATAAATCTGGCTACCCAGACTGATAGTTCGACCGATTTTCAGTGCGATTCCTCCCAAAGTCAGCAAAGGTTCAATTAATGGATGTCTCATAATTATTATCCAGACCCATAGTGAGAATGGTTGGCGTTCTGTAGTTATTACTCAAAATACTTGTGTGTGGTCAACACAGACGCTGGCCGATTCGGAGTCTCTGATGTGAAATAGAATGGGAGCCAATTAGGCAATGACCCGAGGCATACGCTGCTGCTGGAATTCACAAATGGAGGAGCATATTGTTGTGTCTCTGAAGTCATTCTTCCGAGTAAAAATAACAGGAAGAGGGCCACGGTCCACTCAATTAAGGGTTCCTGTGATAACATGTTTTTCTTCTCTGTAAGGTGGAACCTCCGTGTGGACCTTGATGATGTCACCGCTCGCGAAGGGTCTCTTCCATGCGGCAGTGGATATGAGTGGCTCGTATGTGTACAATGCCACATTGGAACAGGCTGAGTCGGACAATTTGGTCTTTCTGAAGAACACAGGCTGCAAGGACATTGCATGCCTTCGACATCTCTCTGTTAAAGAGATATTACAGGTGCCAACTTAGATTTTCCATCTCAGTGAGGAGCCTTTTTTGGGGCGGGGAATTATTATTATTTTGGGGCGGCCCGGTAGTCCAGTGGTTAGCGCGTCTACCTCACAGTGCAGAGGTCGTGGGTTCGATCCCGGCTCTGGCCTTCCTGTGTGGAGTTTGGATGTTCTCCCTGGGCCTGTGTGGAGTTTGCATGTTCTCCCCACCCTGCTTGGGTTTTCTCCGGGTACTCCGGTTTCCTCTCACATTCCAAAAACATGCATGGCAGGCTGATTGAACACTCAAAATTGTTCCGAGGTGTGAGTGTGAGCATCGATGGTTGTTTGCCTCCATGTGTCCTGCAATTGGCTGGCAAGCGGTTCAAGGTGTCCCCCGCCTACTGCCCGAAGACAGCTGGGATAGGCTCCAGCACCCCTCGCAACCCTTGTGAGGATAAGGCGGTTCAGAAAATGGATGGATGGATGGATATTATTATTTTGAAGTGGCCTTGCTTTCTTATCTGACATTAAGAAAATGTGGTCTACTTCTTTCTTTTAAATATTTGAATGTATAAAATAAGGTCAACATATTGTGTATTCATTACTTAGCATACTGTATTTCAAGAGTCTCTCGTTGGGTTTCACTTTTGGACTGAAGTTCAAAACACAAACAGCAATTTATATCCAGCCACAGACAAAAATTTTGGTTGTGACAGGCTATCCCATGGCAGCAATACCCCTCCTGGGCTGCAGATGACTTGGTTAACCTTCCGACCAAGGGGCTCTTCTGTGGTCCTGTTGCAGTGGTGGACGGGTATGTCCTTGAAGCATCACCGTTTGAGATATGGGAAAAGAAAGGAGCTTACAATGATGTTCCCTTCGTCATTGGGACAACAGAGCAGGAAGTGGACTTCAGGTGAAGTTTAATCCTGTTCAAGTTTTTCATTTATAGTTCAGTTGTAACTGTGATCAACTGTTTCCTCTGCAGTCCATCGCCTGAAAATATTTCCATGTGGACCTGGGGCGACTACAAGTGGTTTGTGACAGGTAACGAAGCCCACAGAGCGGCTCAATAGTTCGAGCATGCAATAAATTGAAAACAGGGAGACGTAAAGCAATACTTTTTCTGACAGAGTGAACATGGATACAAAAACAATCTATGTCAAAGCATTTTTCAAAATGAAGACCTTAATTTTTCCGAACCAATCAAGATAGTCAGAATTCAAAGGTCAACCTGGTGCACCAGGTAGCCCCCAAGGAACTCACGAGTAGCCTGCAGACCATCTCACCAGTGTTGGGACATTGTGATTTCCTCGTGTTGCTGTAGAAATAACCATTTGAAAATGTAAACCTGTACAGAGATTTCTCGGAATAGGGTGTTATTGACATTTGTCTGTTTCTGGTTAAATCATTAACCTGAATGCTGTCTTCACATAAATGAATATCATCAACGATGAATTCAAACATATTGAAAGGTGATTTGAGCAAAATTTTTATTTCAGAAGTATGTGTCGAACTGTTCGCCCTTTGCATTAGTCAGTGCACACGAAGTAGTTCTCACTTTCAAAAAGGTTGGTAACCCCGTTGCAGAAAGGCTTCATTGTTTGTCACTTGTTTCAGGCCACCTAACAATAAAAATGAAAAGTGAATGGAAGCTTTATTTTGTTGGGCATAGATTTGTAAAAGTAAAAAGTAACTACTTACATGGATGATTATGTTTGAAATATTTACAAAAGACTGATTTTGTGTATTAGATGGCATGCTCCCAAAGGAGAAATATAGAAAAACAACTTTGTATTTGTTTTTGTACACATCATTGGGTCTATAGATTCACCGGTTGTCCTCCTTTCAAGTGTCGTAAATTTTTTGTGCTGCCACTCAGAAAGGTTTTGAACCAATCTGGTCAGAATTAGGACCTACTGTTACATCGCAGCCAGGCTAATTTAAATAGCACTAGCCTCATACTTGGCTGCATTTCTTTGTTCAGTAACCCACAAGAACCACGTTGGAAATGTTCAGAAATGTGTTAAAATTGAGTATGTTAGTTTTTTTATGTATGTGTCATTACTTGTCTCCTTTTCAGAAAAACTCAAGTCTTTTAGCGAGAATCTTCCTAAAGCAGCATTAGAGCTTTATCCCTCCTCCGACCCCTGCCCCACCACAGACCGCTGTCCTGAGAGAGCATACACGACCATGGTTTCTGACATCAGAGTGACATGTCCCAACAATGATCTAGCCCAGAAGGCCGCTGGTAAATCCTCTTCTTAATGATTATGTTATAATTTTGTCCTGATAGCTTAAAAAGTTTGCTTTCATCAAACAGATAATGCATACATTTCAGATAGCCATCTGTGTGCTGTTATGAGACCACGTGGAGCACAACAACTTTTATTCTGTCTCTAATATCTTCTTTCATTTCTCAGTGTCTTCTACATATAGAATCATGAAAGTACTCAGTCGCTGATAGTGTGATCGTAACGTAGTAAACTCGCCTGACTTGTGTGCGGGCAGAGTGGGGTCGATTCCCACTCAGTCACAGTGTGAATGTGGGTGTGGATGGTTGTTTGTCTGCATGTGCCCTGCGACTGACTGCCAACTAGTCCGCCTTTCGCCCAAAAGTCAGCTGGGATAGGCTCCAGCTTCCTCCTGTGACCCTCTTCAGGATAAACGATGTTGAAAATGGATGGATGGATGAAAATACTCAATGAATAAAAAAAAATTGTGAATTATGCAATACATCTTGAAAATTGGTCTTCAAATGAAACTAAAAAGCAGAAATGTTGAGGTCAGCTGACATGCAGAAAGTTTTATCTCAGCTTGAAACAAGCACACTTGTTAGTTAGCAACCCTTGAATCAAGGTAAGACTTTGGATGTTAATTCAAGGACAGCATGTATTTCTCTTCATCTATCCATCTATTATCTGAACCGTGAATCCTCACGAGGGTCGCGGGCGTGCTGGAGCCCATCCCAGCTGTCTTCGGTCAGTAGGCCGGGTCCACCCTGAACTGGTGGCCAGCCAATCGCATGGCATACATAAACGAACAACCATTCGCACCAACACACACATCTAGGGGCAATTTAGAGTGTTCAATCAGCCTGCCATGTGGAATGTGGGAGGAAACCAACATACTCAGAGAAAACCCACACAGGCACGGGGAGAAGATGCAAACTTCACACAGGAAGGCTGAAGCCAGGAATCGAGCCCTACACCTCTGCACTGTGAGGCGGACGTGCAAACCTGTCGCCCACAGTGCCGCCCTCTTCATATTACCGGTACATTAATATACATTGTACACTGCAAACCTGCTGGCTTGAAATCAACACAGAGGGTATTAATTTTAACTATGGCAAATTGTCTATATACACACACTGCAGCCACATCTCCCATTGTTAAAGTAACATTTAATAAAGTATTAAATGTTCCACACCCAATCGATAGATGGAGCTTGTCACTGAAGCTGTCTCCACCTGCTTGAACTAAAACGTTAAACGCCGTGTTAATTAATCCAGTTGGCCATGTATTTTCATATGAGATGCAAAGATAGGTCAATTTGTTTTAAACAATATAAAAACCAAGTTAGGAGGCCATTTTTTTCTCCATCAAATCTCATCATGTGAAAGCTTTGCCTCTCTTATGAAAATCTGAATTTGTCTTGCAAGCAATGAGGAATGATGCCAAAGCGAACCTGTGAACTTGAATCATGACGTAAGGTGCGGGGCTTCAGTTTCAAATGTGCACCAATCAGGGTCAAATGCAGGTGACACCCCACTTCAACCATGTATCAGTGTTCCATCCGAGACTTCACAAGCTGTTTTATTCGTGAGTGATGTTAATGCAACACCGACATTCTGTTTCTAACATTCTCCCTAAACTTTGAACAATGGTCAATTTGCAGTCTACCTTTAATATTAAAACGTAGTCACACTTTTGCAGCAGCTTTGACCACACGATGATGAGGTCTTGGCCTCGGAACTTCTCTAATTTCAAGAAGGAACTGAAATATTTGGAAAGCAGAGAGTGGGAAGTCTTGGAGTTGTTGTTTTGTCCACTCCACCCCAAAAACCTTGTCTTTTGAATAGTGTATATATATATATCAAGAGTTGATCTATCTTAAACCTCATTTTAACCCTTTCATGCACCCTGTAACCTGATAACATGATCCGCTGTCCCTGAAAGGGTTAAGTTCTTCAGAAGCTTTGTCTGCAAGTATAATAATATGGCGTTTTTTTATTTTTTTTATTTTTATTTTTATTTTTAAGAAACAGCTATTCACTGAATTGGATAGTTTGCCATGATCATTTGTTCTCTGTTATCATTTAATAATCTAGAATTTTTTTGGTGTAGGATTCCTGCCTCACTTTGCCTTTTCAATGAACTTGTGTTCCTGCAGCGGCCCTTCAGAGTCCTGTTTATCGCTATGTAGTGACGCACACGCCTTCTGGAGCAGTCAACACAACTATTCCTCTGATGCCGTTTCACAGCCGCTTCTCTTTCCACTGCTTGGATATCATTGCTTTCTTTGGGGGACTGGAGTTAGTTCTGGGGAAACCACTCTCTGATCAAGACAAGAGTTTCCAGGATCTTGTAACACAGCATCTCGTGAACTTTGCCAAAACAGGTGAGAGTGTTTTTCTGCTTCTGTGTCTTGAGTGTATCGTGTATTTAGCTAGCACTGAACACCATACTGAGTTTCACAGTGTGCCCTGGTTGTGCTTCAACGTCCCCTCCATTACTTTTCCATTTATGAAATGGTTGAGTTGTTTCTGTTGTTTTTGTCACGTTGCGAGGTGGTGGTGGACCCCAAAAAGCAGGCAGGAGGGAGGAGCAGGGTGTACTTGAAAGATTGTATTAAAACTCAGAGAAAACGAAATCCAAAACAAACAAAGTCCAAAGTATCAAACAAAACACATGACTGAAGATAAAACATAACACTGACCAAAACATGACTGAAACAAACATGACAGCAAACAAACATGACAGTACCACAAAGCAACAATGACCCGACAATGATTGCTCGGGCTGGGAGTCCTTTTAAAGCCACTAATTACCTAATGACCAACAGGTGTGCAGCTGCAGGGGAGCCCTACAGTGCCACCTGTTGGTCCCAAACCGAATCATGACAGTTTTTATTTTTCGGATTTGGGGAGATGTTTGGGTTTATTGGATCAACAATTTAATACAATAAAATAGATAATAGCTCTATTTTCTTGCAATTATTATTTTGATTTCAGCCCGATGGCTGCCATTTTGGTCATAGGTCACCAGTGGTCAATCGTTGTGAATACTGCAATGTGGTAGAAAGAAGCTTCTGGCCATTTTCAAAGTTCAAAATTTGAATTCCGCATCATAAAAAAATGAACGATTTGACATTGAGATTGCCCATATCAGGCAGTCATAAAAGTGATGGTGGCCATCTTGAATATTTAATGACAGTTTTTTATTGTCCAAAACATATTTTCCAAGTACTATGTGTGGTAAATATATTTGAAATATCATAATATTTAGATCAATCATAAGAAAAAAGTTGCAGCTGGTGGCCATTCAAGAAAAATGGGTGCCATGGGCACCATTTTGAAAATTGATGATGGCTCTACATCTAAATCTTTTTGTGACGCCATTAGCTATAAGTGGAGCAAATTTCGTTTTGGTTATCTGCTGCACTATATGGAGTTTTATGGAACTATTGATTTGTAAATCGCCTGTAGATTATATTGTATGCTTATTATTTCATGAAGACTAGTAATCTTAAAATCTCTGTCTCTTACAGGGAAGATGGTTGATGGGTGGTCCGCTTACCCAGCAGCCACTGCCCTCCTGTCCAGGAAACTTTTGTTTGTCAACGAATATTCAGCTGCGCGCTGTCAGTTGTGGAAGGAGAACGGCCTATATGCCTATGCGTGGATAAACTGATCATACATTGGCGTTCACTAACGTGCAAAGAAAAAAATTGTTCAGCTGTGTTTTGCTTGGCCGTGCTTCAAAATTTGTTGTAAAGGGAATATATTCTGTTTAAGTTGCTTGTAAGCATATCACAATTTAAAAAAAAAAAAACAAAACATTATTACATTTTAACAGCAGCCTGTCCTTGTTGAATTGTATGACACATTTTCAAACAAGTTGCGAAAATGATAAAATATTTCACATTTCTTGAAGTCAGGCTTACCTTTCAACTGAAACTTTCTGTCTAAGACACAAGTAAGAAAATGTCCTTTGTCATGTATGTGTGTGTGTGTGTGCGCGCACAGAGTTTGCATGTTCTCCCCATGGCTGCATGGATTTTCCCCGGGTACTCCGTTTTCCTCTCCCATATTCCAAGATCATGCATGGCAGGTTAATGGGACTCTAAATCAGGGGGGCACCCTATTTTGACGGAAGATATACTTCTCAAGCAACCAACCACCTGCGATCGACCCGTTGCACATACACACATGCACACACAAGCGAGCACAACCATGCACATGCGCACATATGCACGCACACACACAGGCATGCCATGATGAGCAACAGCAATAATGGCCCCTAACATTAACAAAACAAAAATAAAGTAGATATAATACTTTGTGAGTTTGTAAAAAGGAAGTCACTGCACTTTTGCAACGTGTTAAGTGCAGAAACTATCGTACGTAAGGGCACCGTTTGAAAATCTTCCTCCTGGTGCTTCAGATTCCTGGTAGATTGATGTGTTGGGCACACCTGCTCTAAATTGTCCTGAGGTGTGGTTGTGAGTGTAAACGGTTGTTTGTCTATGTGTGCCCTGCGATTGGCTGGCAACCAATTCAGGATGTACCCCGCCTACTGCCCGAAGACTCATGGGATACTCTCTCTCTCTCTCTCTCTCTCTCTCTCTCTCTCGCTCTCTCTCTCTCTCACTTTATCAGTGTTTTTAATGTATTTCGTTCTTTCTGTTCAATTACTTTTAAAGCAGTGCAGCTGTCAAGAATCTTTTTTGTACCACGGACCGGTTTCACATACACAATTTTACATATTTTAATGGACCGGTGGAGAAACAAATAATTAAATATACACCGTGAATGTTTTTTGTCGTAATTAGTGGGATCTTGGCATTATTTCTCTTTGACGAGCTGGTCCAATTTTGGGATAATTTCTTTTCCTTGAAAAAAGCTCTAAATGCGTGTCTTTTAATGGAGGTGAGCTTTTAATGCCCAATGTGCAAAAGCATTTTCAATGGCTTCATTTCCTCGTTTGTGAGCCACTTGCAGCATTACACAACAATCAATAAACCCTCAGTCAGACTAATGATTTTGTTTCTTCAATACATTTTTTTTTCTTTTGCAAGTCAGAAGCTCTTCTTGTGTCACATTAGTTGGCCTGTTTCCCTTTTCAAAGGAGCTCCCCAAACAAGTTGTTTGCTGGCTTTTTTTTTTCTATGTAGCACATGACCGGAGAGTTGGATTTTCAAAATAAAATTTATTTCGGACTCTAACGATTAATTAAATATTTTTTGTCTCAACTCATGACCACTGGCCAAACATTCAAAGAGTCCCAAAAGATCGGCCCAAAATTGATAGTGGAAGAATATCCACACAATCACAGAGATCATAGATTTCAATTTCCACACAGGAAGAGTGACAGATTTGAACAGTAAACATGTTTGCAGAGTCAGTGCCATGCAAGAAATTCAACTGACAACAGCTCAACTTTCTATTCCGCTTGCCCTGTTCAGGCTTGTGGGGAGCTGGAGCCCTTCCCACTTCGGCCAAAAGGCATACAACACCCCGGGCTGGTCGTTATTCAGTTATAGGTCACATATAGAGTAAGGCAACATTCAAAGCTCCACTGAGTGGGAAATAAACCCACTCTGCCTGCACCCAAATCGAACAAATGAGCCATTACGCCATCATTGACCCAAATGAGAATAGTTTGTGAAATTGATTTGTTCGGGAAATGTTAATCAACAAGAAAGCCTATTGGTGGCAGATATGTTGCTCCATTCATCCTCTTTGAAGCAATATGTTTAGGGAGCATTCTCCTGTGTTTAATATTGGATATATTATTGTGGATAAAGCTTTTTTTGAAAAATGTTTCTCATGATCCAAAATCATTTGGGGTTTTTTTTCACTATATTGCCAACATCAAAATCCATCCATACATTTTCTGATCCGCTTTATCCTCACAAGGGTCGCGGGGCGTGCTGGAGCCTATCCCAGTAGTAAGCGGGGGACACCCTGAACTGGTTGCCAACCAATTGCAGGGCACACAAACAACCATCTGTGCTCACACTGACACCTAGGGACAATTTGGAGTGTTCAATCAGCCTGCCATGCATGTTTTTGGAATGTGCAAACTTCACACAGGAAGGCTGGCGCGGGAATCAAACCCGGTACCTCTGCACTGTGAGGCTGATGCGCTAACCACTGGCTCACTAAACATCAAAATATGTCCATATAACACTCTTGCAAGAAAAGTATGTGTTTATTGTTAGTATCACTAAGTCTTAGTGATACTAAGACCTCTGGGACACTTTCATCTGACTGCTGTTTTTTTTCTCAGGCACTTGTGTTTTTTCTTTACATTTTCTGTGATGCTTTTGTAGACACGACGCATGCTACTGCAGATTTGGTGAATTGCTGATAGACCACTGGGAATTTTGAATTTCCCAACTTTCTACATGTCCTATGATGTAACCAGTTTCTATTCAAGAAGGGTTTTGACGTCAGATTGATGTTTAAATTGTTTCAGTGTTTACACTAACTACTAAAAAAAATGAAGGCTTAGTGCTGATATGGAAATCATACAATTGCAGGTTTATTTTGATTTTTGTATTTACACATATGCATTTTTACACAGTTTTCCCCCTCACAATTGCAAACAGATCACCGTCTTATTGGGAGGGTAATTGTCCCTAGGTATGAGTGTGAGCGTCAATTGTTGTTCGTCTATGTGTGCCCTGGGATTGGCGGTCCACCAGTTCAGGGTGTCCCCCGCCTACTGCCCGAAGACAGCTGGCATAGGCTCCAGCCCACCCACGACCCTTGTGAGGAAAAGCGGATTAGAAAATGCATGGTTGGATGGATCAGAGCACTGGAGCCCTAATCGAACCCTGCACTTTTACACTGTGAGTCGACCATCAGGCCGCCCCTGAAAATAATTTACAATTATATTTTAGGATATCAAATAAAATGCTGGAGGAACTCAACTTAGGCTACACAGATGTCTAGCAGGGCTACAACCCACCGCCCAACTCCCAACACTTTCACGCCAACCGCCCCAGCCCCGTTGGAGCACATATCTCTGAAGTAGTCATTCACCAAGCTTTTATGGACAGTATGTGACACATGCCATAGACACATCGCCAGTTATTTATTATTTATATATTGTTACCAAGTCCCAATCATGTTTAGATCCAAGATATTCAGAACAATTATTGCAAAAATATGTCCCCTTTCAAGAAATGCTACTGCATAACACGCACAGCTGTTTGCACTACTTCTTAACCTTGTTTATTGGCTATGGACATTTGCACTTGCCTGTGAATAGACACTGTTGGATATGTTTTGAATGATATTTGCAAAAACAAGTAGTTGAAATGTGTGTTATGATGCTGTTATGAAGCCAAATAAAATAATTTGTGAATGTTTTTTCCCCCTTGTAACGAAAACCCATGCAAGCACGAGGAGAACAAACAAACTCCACACAGGAAGGCCGCAGCTGAAATTGAACCCGGTACCTCTGCACTGTGAAGTCGACGTGCTAACCACTCGATACCAGGCCGCCTGTAATATACATCTTACTTTGTATTTGCAGTTCACTGATGAATGTTAATCCAGTGTTTAAAAACCTTGGCCACCTGGTGTCAGCATAATACAGACTTATGCTCCTGACTACCAGGGGAAAAAAATGTTGTCCAATCACATTTATTTTGAAATTTCCCAATCTATGTGAAGTAATTGGACTACCGTACTCCAAAAGAAATTTTTGAAATTCCACTACATTTTTAAACACTTGAATACAAGCCTCAAATACACTTAAAACAACTCAAACAACACTTTAATGTGTTCATAAGAGTCTTATAAATAAAATGCCAAAAGCATTTCAAGACAAAATGTGTTTGATAAAAAGTATTACTTTTCCTCTTCCCATAAAAAGTGATTGCACTGAGGGAAGCCATTTTCTTACTTTTTGTAACCCCTACAAATTTGGTATCATTGGAAAGAACTGAATGTCCTCTTTAGAGTAACAAAAGGAGTTAATGCGATTGGATGCACTGGGTGGGAGATATTTAGGTTTACAAATGTCCTCGACAGAGGACAAATTTGAACTACTGGTAGTCAGGAGGATATGGCTACACTGTACATTGAGACAGCCTCAACTCCACAGTAAGCTACAGTAATCTTCGTCGCTTTTCACAAAGGATAAACAATCCATGTCAGAGGATTTTTATATTATCTCTCTATATTTGGAGCTTCACTATTTGTGTTCAAATATCTGTTGTTGAAAAAGTTATAACTTCACAACACCATTGCTACTCATTAGCCCATCTAAGGAGTTGCCCATTATGTGTTAGTATGAAGCTATGTTAGTTTTAAAAAAAAAAATCCTAGTCTCACCCCTCGGGTGGTGTCCATCCCTCATTCAGCTCGGGTCCTCTACCAGAGGCCAGGAAGCTTGAGGGTTCTGCGCAGTATCCTTGCTGTTCCCAGCACTGCACATTTCTGGACTGAGATGTCCGATGTTGTTCCCGGGATCTGTTGCAACCACTCATCTAGTTTGGGGGGTCACTGCCCCAAGTGCTCCGACCACCACAGGCACGACTGTCAACTTTACCTTCCAGGCTCTCTCCAGCTCCTCTCTGAGCCCTGGGTATTTCTCGAGTTTCTCGTGTTCCTTCTTTCTGAT